ATCTATATTATTTCCTTGAATAGCATCTAGTTACTTAAAAAAAAATAAATATCTAATCATATAAAAGCACTGCAATCAATCTATACAAGTTGACTTTAAGTTATAATTAGAATTAGTATACCTGCTTTCCAAATATAACTTAATATACATGTATAACAAATAGAATAATATTAAAGATAGTAAATAGTGAATATTTTTTTATATAAAAGTATTATAACCACTTTATATAGATTTGCCTCCAAATTATAAATAGAATTTGATATACTTATGCTTCAAATATAGCAAAAATGTTTTATAGCTAAAGTTTATATTAATTTTTTTAATAGTGTCAGAACTTAACTTTATATAATAGACCTATATTGTTTGAGAGATAAGTGAAAAACTTTTTGTTGTTATCATTAGTTCATTTGCAGAAATAATTAAAATTTTTGATCATTATATATTACTTTATTAGGTTTTTTAATTACCAATATAACATTTTTAACTAATCTAGTTTATTACTAGTTATACTGACATTAACTACTATTTCATTCTGGAAATTATAAAACACAACTCCTTGAGTACTTTTAAACAACATTAAGTTTTATAATAATGACCATGTCAATCTTTTGAAGAAAATAAACTATATGTTCTTTTTCTGAAAAGCCATAAAAGAAATAAATTTTCTAAAGTTCACATTTTAAAAATAATTATTACTTTTTAATATGATTTTTAAGAAAAGGAAATCAACTGATTAGAGAAATAATATTGTAGAAATAAAGTTTTAAAAAAGAAAAATGTTTAGAAAAAAAAACTTTAGAAAAGGAAAAATCTAGTTTTAGCAAAAAAAAAGAAAAATAAAGAAGAAAAAAATATAAAATATAAAAAAGTGTGTAGAAGAGAAAGAGAAAAATAAGGAAGGAGTAATAAAGAAATATAAAAAAGAAAAAATAAAAAGAAAAGATAAAAAAAAAAGTAAACAACCTAAAAATTTTTTAAAAAAAATTTTTTTCAGTATAAAAAAAGAGTAGAAAAAGTTTTTTTTTTTTTTATTGAAACTTATTATTTATTTTTATAAAATATAAGTATAAAGATTCAAATTAATATATTTAAACTATATTAAAAGTATTAAATTAATTATATTTTTAATTTTATTTAAAAGATAAATATAAATAAATATACAATGGCACTTGTCTGTTTATATATTGTTTATTTGTATATTCTATGTAAAAAATATATAAATGCATATTTTTTGCTTAGTTTCAACTTATAAAACTCTTATAAAAATCTGATATATATATATATAACCTGTCTAAATGCATATTTTTATAAAAATTTTATCATGGTTTCAACTTTATATAAACAGACAGATGTTACTGTACCATATATAATCAATATATTAGAAGCATATAGTTATTAGCAATTATATTTTGAATACTTAATAATATCATTATTTTATTATTATTTAAGAGAAATAATTATAAAACTCTTTTTTGTCTTATTCAATTTTCAAATTTTTAAAATAAAAATTATAAACTATTAATTTCTATCAAAAGATTGATATAAAATAATTATATTATATTAATATCTAAATTATCAATATAAAAAAAATCATTAAATATTATTTATATTTTTTTAAGTTATATAATTATATTGATTCAAACTATATATGTAATATAAATTATTTGTTGTTAACACAATTTCTAAAATTTTCAAAAATAATTGCATCATGATTCAATTATTTTTGAGAATTTTGGGAATTGAGTCAATAGCAAAATAATTTATGTCACATGTATAGTTCAAACTACAATTCAAAATTCAAACATAACATCTCCTTTTTATTACTAATATTTATGAAACACATATACAGTATATAGTTAATAATTTAACTAGTAACTAATAATTTTTATTTTTTTTATTTTTTTTTTTATTTGAGTTTTCAAAAGTTCACATATATTAATCTTTATTTTGATAGGTTAAAATTAATTTACTTTATAAAGATTCTTAATATATTGATAACAAATAAATGTTTAATAAAAACCTTATATCTAATGCTTATCAAAAAATAATAATAATAAAAATTTATATAAATATTAATAATCAATTACTTAATATAATATATTCAAAATTAAGCAATTAAATAATAAAAAAAGTTTGCTTATTTTTGGAAATATACAGTATATACAGTATATTATTTAATTTGATACATTAGTATTATTGATATGATATTTAATATATTTTCCAATATTTTAAAGATACTTAATAAAGAGATAATATTTAATATTTAATTAAAAAATAAATATAGTATATATTATGATCATTAAAAATTCTATTAATTAATTCAATATTTTTATTGATTATTCGAATAAAAATCATTTAAATTTTTTTCTTTTTACCAATGGTTGCTTTTTATGTAACATAAATCAAATAATATTTAAAATAATATTTTTTAAATATTCAGTATATTTAATGTAAAAAAAAAACAATAAAATCCAATTTGATTTATGAAATATTGTATTATAAGCGAAATGCAAAATTTTTAAGAATAAAAATAATAATAAATTTTATTTAAAAAATTTTTTTTATTGGATATTTTTTGTTTATTTTTTTTATTTAATGTCTTAAAAGACTATATACTGTATGTGTGTCTATATAGAATAAAATGGAATAAATATTATAAAATTTAACGCCGTAATTCTACAGTATTGTTTTCTCTGCTGAAAACTTTTATAGTTAGATCTTTTGATTATTTGGTACACGATTCGATAAGTCTATGTATATTTTCTTAACTGTCGTGTTAACTCTTGCCACCGCACATCTAACCATAACCGAAAATCAAGTGAATATTAGATAGATACTCGACTTCATGACATTCTTATCTATAAAGGTTTTACATTCGATCTTGACGTCCGACCATTCAATGATACGAATCAGATCGAAATATTGTTATATGATTTGGAGTTTCGTTCCTTCGTGGCGGAATTAAAAAATTGTAAACATTATAGCGGTGCAGTAAATTTCAATAATAATAATAATAATAATAATAATAATTAAAATAAAATTAAATAAAATCAAGAATACAATTTATAAAATGTATAATTCAATTCAATCCAAACTTTAGCGAGATCTAGCGTTGCTCTTCCAGTTGTCCGGAGAAATATTTCTGCCATCGTTAGCCCTAACAAAAAAACCCGAATCTGTAGACCATTACGTCGAAATTCCCTAGAGGAAATCCTTGATCGTGGTATCGTTATGAATCCATCGTGATCAATAATTACCTATTGCTTAAATTAAGTCCAATGTCTAATTTGTGGTGGAGATAAAAAAACAAACCATAACAATTAGCGTAATCATTGGAGAAAAATGTCATCATCCTTTCCACAATTCCTCCAAAAACTTACCTACGCTTGCACAACAATCTCACCAGGATACAATACATTCCCAGAAATATCACCGACAGTATCAAGGTAAGATTCAATTCAAAGTAAATAATCAATTCATTCGTTGTGCAGTAAACTTGCTCACACAATACGTGTATTGATTCGATCAGTTTTTTCCAAGAGACTATGGGTACTAGGTTTATTAGACAGAAGATTATTCCGCGTCTTAAGGATTTGTAACGAAGCTGTGATAGCGAAGAGTAGAATCAGGATAATTTAATTGATTAGTTTATGTTCAATTGAAGCATAATTATTTCAAAAGGAAGGTTCGAATAATAGACTTACTGCCATACCAGCCGTCAATCCAAAAAAAATCCAAAACAAGAACAGCAAATGATAGGAAAATGATATATTGGTGCTCGATAGATTAACATGTAAGAATACGGATGTGTTCAGTATGAAGTGTATAGAACAGGTGAACATGAATAGTTTTTCCAAGTATCTGAAATTGAACCATTTTGGGGATTTTTTGTAGGTCATTATGCGTATTGCGGTCATCACAGTGTCTAGAAGAAAATGGGGTTTCAGTTTGAATTGAGAGTCTAGGATTTCTAACTTGTAAAAAAATAGGTTGAGAATTTAATTAAGATGTCAAGAGAAAGAAAAATGTAAGATTTTAAAATTGATGTGGCAGGAGGCATGAGCGAGCTAAGAATGAGAATTATATCGGTAGGCTGTGTCTTCAAAAGATATTTCAATCCAATCAATTTCCATCATTTTTATTTGTTTAAGATAGCCCTCGACTCCTCCATAGGGACAGCGCACGATATTATGGAAATTTTTAATTTTCAGAATTCCGTTAATCTAAACCACGACACGATAACTGCTAAAAAAGTCAATATACATTGTTATTGAAAGAACGGAATTAAAGAATAGCAAGGTGATAGATGTACTTACGTTTACATGTGGTACACTGCTAGTTTTGATGTTGATTTTATACATATACGAATATGTGGCACACATTCTCGCCATAATCCTGTATTGTGATGAGTGTGATGTGCTTTGTGTAATTTCCCCTCAAACTCCAATTTCGGAAGGATCCATTCAACGAACATCCAGCAATACTTGCAAATATCATATTCATACAATGGCCTTTCTCCGACTTGGATTCACTCCATTTATCAAAAATTCCATTGAAAACCATCTCAGGTGAATGAGAATGCTATATTATCTCTGTCGATTTATTTATTATTTATTGGAGGTCTGAAAATGTGTATTTGTATTCACGTGCGCCCAAATTCCGGTTTTTATGTTGGTAATACTGCATGTGCGGTGTGGCAAATCATAAGCCGCTAATATTTTAATGGCCGATCGTAGCACGTTTCGATCAAAAAGCAGTCACGACTTTTTTCTGTGACTTCTTCCGTGTAACCTGATGAACTATACGAGGTGACATTTTAATCTTAGTAAGTGACACACACATTACCGTTAAGGTACCTGCAAGTGTGTACCTTCAAGGTTTTTCCACTTTGGAGCGAACGGCATACACCATTTGACATTTTGATTTTATTTTATTATTTTCTTTTTCCGCTCAACTTCATCCGCTTTCTTATATATATATTCAGCCCTTGGTCATTTAACATGTTCAACACAAGTGACCATTGCGATATTCCTGAAGGCAACAATGTTCAGGGATGGGTGTTGACATTTGCTTCGGGTTTGGCTTGTTGTATGGGTGGTAGGTATTAAATTACCGGTTGGTTTGCTGTATACATGCTTGTTCTCAACGTGTACCTTCCATTTTTATGTGTGTGAAGCCTTAGTGGTATATTCCGACATATTCTTTCAGAAGTTTTTGCGTACTCCAAATGTTCACATAACACAAGATTCAAGTGTCTTGGTAGCATCCCTGTCGCTTGGAGCTGGTGTGATGGTATGCATAATTCTTGTAGATTTGTTACGTCCTTGAGTCTTTTTTTTTTTCATTTTTTAATCCTAGAACTCGGAACTCAGTTTTTTTCTAGCTTTCATACTTTGATGAACGAATCTAAACAACATTTTGAGAAAGCCAATTATTCTAGATCTTACTCTGGACTCTATATGATCGGATTTTACTTTGTGGGCGTAGTCAGTTCGATATTAATCAATTGTATTATTCACCGGTATATACCCGAAGGCTCAGCATTGCACTCTCATCATCATGATTCTCCTGAAAGCGGTCACAAAGTGTCTATGATGAAGAGCAATTCGTTATCATTACAAGATGAAGAACGTTCATCCTTATTACGTTCAGGTCGACTGACGAAAATTGGTACTTCACCGTATGGTGCATCAGATGATGATGTCACTCGTCTTGAAGACATACGTGACTTCAATGGGGAAAATGGGTCAAATGAATGTTCTATTCTCGTGGAAGATGAATCCTATCATCATCACGCTCAGAATGATCGTCGATCTCCTGGAGTAGATCAAGAAAGATCGCAGTTGATGTCCATAGGTATTCAGACAGCCTTGGCCATTTCAATTCACAAATTTCCCGGTAAGATATTTTGTAACTACCTATACTTTTTATGATCAACCTGAACACCTTAATTTATATTCATTAACATTATGTAGAAGGTCTCATCACTTTTGTCAGCTCAAAAGTATCGCCATCACTGGGGATGGCGTTATTTCTTGCCATCGCCCTTCACAATATCTCCGAAGGGATCACGATGGCTCTCCCACTATATATGGCTACAGGATCACGATCAAAAAGTTTTATATATACAAGTTTGTTAGGCGGATTGAGTCAGCCATTGGGAGCTCTCGTTGGTTGGTTTTTCCTGAAAGAGTCTGCGTCGGAATGTTGGAATCATGACTTCGTGTACGGAGCTCTGTTCGGAGCTGTTGGTGGCCTGATGGCCGTTATATGCATTCAGGTAGGTTTCCTTGACGTCTGTTGAACCCATGCGTGACCAATTTTTTTTATGATCTAACGGAATCTGTCGTCTCTCTTGCTTTTCAGGGAATGCTACCACCGGCCATAAGGCATGATAAATCTAATGGTAGTTTGGTAGGAAACTACTTCTTCCTAGGAGTGATGATTATGGGCCTAAGTTCGGCCTTATTAAATCATGCTCGAATATCGAATCCCCAATAGACTTGATTGCCATAGAATTTATATATTTTGTAAATATATTCGACAATTCTACCAAAAAAGAAGAAGAAAAAACGACAAAAACAGATAGCTTATTTTGAAACATAAAATAAATGAGATAGGTATTCATTTGTTTATATAGTTCACCTTTCATATACATTATTTATTTTTTGAAATAAATTTATGATTTTTTTTACAAAAATAAAGTTTCTTGGTTAATTGGGCAGGCATTTGCTATTCCCATCAAATAATATTGTCTAGTTCGATTCAGATCGGTTCTAATTTGCTTATCTATCGTGTAATAATTAAGAATCAGGCTCATAGCGGTCACATTACAATGACGGTATGAATCAATTCGATCTGACTTTTTTAGTAAATTAATGTTCTTACTTACGTATTGGCGTTTTAATTGATGATTATTTAAGTCTGCATTGCTACTTTACCTTTTATCTTATTCGCATATTATAAAATTTATTATAAACATTTGATCTTTTAAATATTTAATTCCACCACTTTTTAATAATTATGATATAATTTTTAACAAAAACCTTGATCACCTGTTAACTATTATAGAGTAAATAAAATTATTAGATTTACTTGATTTAAAAATAACTTTCTTATAATTAGCATTATAATTTTCTGTAAGAAATATATTTTCTAATATTTTGATCAAAAAATTTGATTTTAATAAATACAATACAACATATTATTTTTTTATTAAAAAATATTATTTAAAGTATTAAATTTATAAATGGTATTAATAAGTTTGATATTTTTAATACTATTTTAATATATTTATTTATTTAATAAATTAAAAAAAAAATTAATGAAAACTTGATAAAAATAAAATTAATGAAAAATGAATAAAAATAAATTGATTAAAAAAAATTATAATATTTAATTTTAGTTTTAGTTTATTTTAAGCATAACAATTCCTTAACAGTTATACAAGTTTTCACATAAGTTTTTAAGTTATAATAAAAAAAATTTTTTTACTTAATAATTTAATATAAACTTTGAAACCTAGATTATTATTCATTTGCTTATAAACTTTGAATATTTTTTTGAATTTGATAGAAGATATGATAGAGAATAACTTTACTCCTACCCCAACACAATATCTCTTAAATCCATGAAGTTTACCTAGAAGCAAGTGAAATTTTCATAATAAACCTTTAAATTTTAAAATTACCATAGATCCTTTTTGCTGAGTCAAAATTTAAAGATTTACTATGAAAATTTCACTTGCTTCTAGGTAAACTTCATAGATTTAAGAGATATTAAGTTGGGATAGAAGTAAAGTTATTCTCTATTATATCTTTTATCAAATTAAAAAATATATTTAAAGTTTATAAGCAAATAAAGAATAATCTAGGTTTCAAAGTTTATATTAAATTATTAAATAAAAAAAATTTTTTATTATAACAAAAATTTCACTCAAAATTTGTGTGAAAACTTGTGTAACTGTTAAAATAATTAATACTTGTAAAAAAATTTTTTTTAAAATAAACATTATTTTTTTATTTATTCATATATCAAGATATATATTTATAAAAAAAACAATATTGTTTTTTTTTTTTTTTTTTTTAATCTTGCAATCAGGTTGGTGTCGTTTATTTATTTAATCATAAAGAACCATTACAAGTTGAAAATCCATGTAAAGTATAAAT